AGACCTTGTTCTAAGGGCGAAAATAAAATCACAGCTATTCATTTAAAATCGCCCTAGTTATTCTTTCTTGAAAGCTTTGGATGGGGAGGTCGAAACATTAGTCGTTTTTGCTAATTATACGTGGTGGATATTCATGATTGGAACTTACAATTTGCTCTATTATTTGGGGAAATCATTTACCTCTTGTGTTGGATCAGCAGACCGCGAAGAATACATTATTTGACTGAATCATAAAGGATATGTAGCAAAAGACTGAAGTTGACTTTTCCTGCTAGCTGCCAAAACATTGTGATTTTTTAGTTGTGGTCTTACTTAGTGGGCTGGTAGCTTAACATTAAATATTGCAAGTGGTAATGAATGAAAGGTGCATGTGTGTTTACCAGGGGAACCGATGCTCCTGAAAGAGATGCATTTATCTTTTCACATACGCGTGAATCTGTAAATTCTATTATCATTATTATATGTATACAGTGTAGTAGTTATACTTAGAACTGCCTTTAAGGCACAGATGCTTGGTTGAAGTGTTTTGGTGTCTTGTCAGCTGGCATGAGATGATGAGAGAGAGGGAAGGGGAGTGGTCGCGAGAGGGGGAGAAGGTAGAAGGAGAAGAACGAATGAGTGAGAAAGATGAATAAAGAAGGGGGAGAGGGGAATTAAGGGAGAGAAGGAGGAGAAAGGGGAGGAAGAGGCGAAAAAGATAGTGAGAGGGAGAAAGGGAGAGGGAGAAAGAGAAAAAAGAGATGGAAGAGAGGGAGAGAACAAAGAGGAAGGAGAGAGAAAAAGACAGGAAAGAGAAAGTAGGGAACGGCGGCAGATTGAGTGTGGGAGGAAAGGTAAGAGAGAGAGAGGGAGAATCGAAGGAGTGGTATGATTTTACAATAATTATTAAATACAATATTAACAATAATTCGTGATATTATAGAAAAGGAAGAGATCTGGGCTAGCAACGGCTGAAAAACGTTCGCTAGTGCTAATTCAATGCGAGTCCGTTATGGGGGTGCGAAAGTACATTCATTCGGAAGGTCGGTGTCAGAGGGGATACGCTTGTTGGTTTAAGCTGTTGGTCCGGGTGGATTCAAGCGTACGACTATAAGTGACCGCAAGTGTGGGTAATCGGCATTCATAGTTATTTGCGGTGAGTTAGGGAAGAATTAGGATCCACATCCTACGGTTAATTTGCGCTGACAAACGAGATGAAGGGTAGATAAAGAAATGGATGGTGATGTAAATCGAGAGGAAATTACCTCATTAGATCGGTCCTAAACAAGGGAAAGCGTCGGTCCAGGAACGGTAAGGCTCGGGCCCGAAAGAACATTATTAGGTGGGGTAAAAGTCTCTAACTTCAGAGGAAAGATTGATAGGGGGACCATTTTTAGGGGAAAGGTTCGGGACCATCTAGGGAAACTGAAAATTTAGGGAGTGGGGAGGCAAGGGTTAGCTTTGTCGGGAGCCTAGACTGGAGAGAAATAAATAGACTCAATAAAGGCTAACAATATGTAAGTTAATCAAAGCTAATTTTATGTTAAGTTAGTAAAAGTTAAGAAATAGTCATAAGTCGCTAGTCAATTGGATAACGTAAAGTCAAATATAAAATAAAATAAAAACTGGCATGTATACGGCATATTAGGGGGAAGGGAAGGGGGGATGGAAAATATAAGGGCAGAGGCGCTGGGCGGACATCTCTGTGGCGCTGTTTGATTTAAGGTCTGAGGAAGCCAAGGCACTGGAAGGACGACGGCGGCTACGCCGCGCCAGAAAATAAATAGCTAAAATAAACGTTGGATAGATTAGAAGTCTCGGCTGTCTGACAGCAGGTTTTTCCCCTTAGGGGTTTTTTCTGAGGCGTCCCTTTATGAGTTTTTTCGGCGTCTTTGATGCGATTGGAGAGACCATTTGTGGGTGAAGTACGATAGAATTTGAAAGATTAGAAGCGAGATGTGGATATTTAAGGTTACAGGCTGGTCGGCCTAGCACATAGAGAATAAGCTCAAGCTAATTTGTTAGGATTAATTGACGATATTAAATTAATATTTTTACAAAGAGGGTTCAAGCTTGGTATTGGTATATATTCGGCTCAGTTAATCAATTCACGGTAGAAATGCTTTAAGGAGAAACTGTCAACAAGTTTTTTAATGCACAAAGTCTATTCATATTCACTTTTCAAGTCGGTAACTTTGTTCCTTCGGAAAGTCTTATTTTCTGTTTGTTTTGTTTTTTTTCAGGAATGGATAGATCAAAAGAATAAGGTTTATTCGTGTATTTGTCGGATTCCACGTCTGGAAATTTCAGGCGACTACACAGTTGATGGACGAGTATTATTACTTCCCATTAAAGGAAGCGGCAAGGCAGTTTTCACTTTCGGTCAGTAGTTTAAATGTTATGTATATTAAGTTCCTTCAGGTATGAGAAAGGTGACTTTTCCTAAATATAAATTCGATTATTTAGAGTAAATTTTATTGATAACATAGATGGCATACATGTATATGACAATATTCGTAATAATAACAGTATCAATAATATATAATATAATATAATATAACAATAATAGTAGTAGCAGTAGTAATAGTAGTACCTGGAGTAGTAATAGTAGTAGTAGTAGTAGTAGTAGTAGTAGTAGTAGTAGTAGTAGTAGTAATAGAGTAGTAGTAGTAAAGTAGTAGTAAAAGTAGATACAGGAGAAGCAATAGTAGTTGCAGTACTAGTAATAGTAGATGTAGTTGTAATAATCATTCCAGTAGAAGAACTTGTAGATGCAGTAATAGTGGTGGTAGTTATTATCAATGGCTAGAATAAATACAATTTCAAATTTCATTGAATTTCGATGGTTTATTTCATTGAGCTTATTTTGGATTATTTATACTGGTTTTCATGAAGACGAGTTCTTATATTAAGGGAAGGATAACAAGGATTTAATGTCATAGATATTCCATTGATCAAGAATACCTTCAAGTCTAAGAAACATTATGTTTATCACTTGCAAATGATGTACAAACATTCAATGAAATGGAACTTACGTTTTACTTTGTTTCAGACAATGCCCTTATGTCCTATCGGCAAAAGTTTAGTTTGGAGAAAAGAGGAGATCGTTATTATCTCAAATTTCCTGAGAATAGTGCCACATTTAATTGTTCTAAAGCTCACTTCAGTATGGACAATCTGTTCAATGGAGACAAAAAATTGGGTAAGAAACAATATCTTTGAACAACTCTTAATCTCTTTGTCTGTACACAATTACACAATATTCTTATAATTGCTTACGTGTTTCAGAAGGAACGACCAATTTGACAGAACGTATTGTGATCACTTAGAAAGTATAGTGTGAAAACATTATTTTTAATAAGTATTCATTTTTGTAGTATTCTTCTCTAAAACATTTAGGAATGCGTTATAACAATTAATTTAATTGCAAGTTAATATTGGTTATTTTCCCGGATATGGATAATTATTATTGAAAATACATAAATAGTATCGCAATGTCGGCCCTCAGATATTTACTGTACGTGATTGACAAGCTACTCGAATTAATGGAGTTATTTCAAAATCATACTCGAAAGCAAAGTAATTTCATTACAGTAACAGCTACAGATTTAATGACAGAATATCAATCTTTCTTTCGTCTTTACAATAAAGATGAATTCGATGTCGATTTTTACCCATCATTTTGATCCTCTCGCACTTGATGGCATTTCTTTTATAACAGTATTTTTGCTTGGAAATATTTGGGGTCTAGAGCAGATACGTTTAAATGTCAGAAATCGGTCCAATCCGCAGGCGGTAGCCCGCTGGAATTGCCTGCGTGCACTCTCCTTCCACTAGGCTAGAGTTAATGGGTGGCCCGCAGATAAGCATTGGGCTAGGCCACGCCAAGTGCGCTGTCCGCTTGAACAGCCCTGCTCTAAAAACACTTGCTGCGATATTTAAAACTCTTCTTGTTAGTCACGAAGAAAGATCAAATCAGACTTCTAAATCTTACCGCGCTCGCTGATTGCTGGAAGTCAATGTTCGTAGCTAAACATGAGTTTGGCCTTGCCGCACCGCACCCCGTCCTATCCTATTGTGCCTTAGAAATAGAGGTCTGTAGGGAATCCACTATTCACCATTGCCTCCATACGTGCTTTTTGCAGGTAACACCCTCAACAACTTCCTGAACGAGAACTGGCGTGCCGTGGTGGACGACCTGGGGCAGCCGTTCGTGGACGCGTCAGCGCAAGTCATTCGGCAGTTCACCTATACCATCGTGGGCGACGTCCCGTATGACGATATTTTCGACGACGTCGAGTTGCCGCATTGAGATTTTGGCATGTCGACAGAAGACCGTCGGATCTGCAGAGAAGCATTATGCACTCTTGGTCAATAGTTTTCATAAATATAATTTAGAATCTTTTCACTTACGTGTCAGCGAAGTAATTCTGTGATACAAAAAGCTCCATACCCCATGAATGTGAAGGCAAGAGAATAGTATATTTGTTGCCAAATTATTTACTCTGATGTTTCATTCGTTTCCAGTTAAACTCAAGCAAAAAACACTTCACAGCATGAGATAAAATGTTCTATTTAAATTACATTTTGCTTTCTCTTTTAGTAAGTATGTTCTTGTTTATCAATCTACGAAAATGTATTACTTCTTAGTGTCTTATAATTAAAATATTTTGTTAACATTGCTATTGCAATATAAGCATCATACGTTATGCACTATTAGATGTGTAATTATTTCCAAAACACCTGCTTGAGAAAAAAACGCTTATTTCTGTGTCACCTGGGAATTTCTGAATTAAAGTAACAATATTATACAATCTTTGAAAATATATACTGTTCTGTATTGCACTAAAATTGATATTTTCCTAAATAAATGAGACTAGACAGCAACAACCAATTGATACTTCTAATCTAAAACGTACTTCTCTATATATAGAAAACTAACTTACCCGTACGACAACTCTAGCATATTTATTCTCACCCATTAACCATCCATATCCCTATCCTTTCCATTCAAAAGGAACATTGTTTACCTATAAAAATGTGTATGTATGTAATAACTTCGTACTTACAGAATATGAAACAAAAATAAAAACAATGCAGTTGACGTTGGAAGCAATATTTTTCAATAAACGTTTATTCAGTATTACATAGATAAGTTCTTCAAACAATTTACATTTCTTTAAAAACAACATCTGAAGAAATTACTCAATCTTCCTTAACAGATTATCGCTTCCTTTGATAGTCACAAAAATATTTGAATAAAACTTTACTCTTGAGAAAGACAAGTAAAGTTTTCCATACGAAAGTAAAGGATGGGGCAAGTACAATCTTGCTCTTTGCAATATTATTAAACATACCTGGATTTGTTTTGAAGAACAGAGAAGGTTTTGGAGGGCCAGAACGTCAGCTTGCTGGGATACGAAATCTGAAAATTTATAACTATACTAAATAGTATTGAATTATTTTCTGTGTTCTTACGTACCTGAAGAGTCAAAAATAATAAAACTAATATTTACACCTTTGAGTAATAAACACCAATTGTTACCATTAGAAACAATTCTGTACGCTTAGACTTCAGTTCGGTACTTACAGATGTTGTTCAAACGATGTTTAGGTATTGAATATCTTAGCGAACCGACACCATAAGTTTTCATTTTTGTCTATTAAACTAAGCTGAATCTGAGTGAGTCTTCATTTTATTACTTCTCGTATGATGTCAAAGTTTGTCAAATGCAACATTAATTTTTCATACTACTGATGAAAATAAAATTTTTAAAAACGCTTACATTCGTTTTCTAATACTAAATTGAAACAAGTATAAAGAAAACCTAGTTTGACACTTATTTCTATGTGTGGGAACTAATGGGTTAACATTCTAATGCAATATTTTATACAATGTTATATAATACAACAATTTCATTTCGACCCTAACCAATAACGCAGGCACACAAAATTATAAAATTGTTATGTACATAATTGTTGCGCCACATGCTTCTTTATGTATGTCAACGCGCTGAATCCGAATCCAGCTAGAATTGCACCACCACACTCCATTTTTTTTTGAATCTAAAAAAAAAACCACCGTGGCATTGTAATTTTTTCGGTAATTGTTGTTAGACCCAAGACTTGACACATGTTTCTTTATGTACGTCAAATCGCTGAATCCGAACCCTAAATTGCTCTACCAACTTACAGTGTTTTAAATTGCGAAAAAACGCAATGAAATTTATAATTTCGCGGTGGATTTTTGTGATTAAAAAACTGGAGGATGGTGGCGTAATTCTGGCTTGAGAATCGGATTCAGCGCGTCAACATACATAGAAACACATGTGTCAAGTCTTTGGGTCTGACAACAACCCACAAAAACAAAACAAAAAAAAACATGTCACGGTGATTTTACGCGAAAAACAGTGGAGGTGATCGAGCAATTCCTGCTTCAGATTCGGATTCAGCTCGTCGACATGCATAGAGAAGAATGTGTAAAGTTTTGGGGTCTGACTACTTTTTTATTTTGTGTGCCTGTGTAGTTGGTGACAACAAATAGACACCCGGGGGTTTACGTGGGATATTATTTATAAATACAGTTTTGTAGTAAAACCTGGTGATTTTCACTTTCTTTTCCACAATATTCTATCTGCAAAATACTTTTCTCATTTTATGATAGCAGGCTGTCTGCTACATTTTCATTTCGCGGAAATTTCATCTCGCGGGTTTCTCTGAATTGCAAAGCTGCGTAATGCTTATGTCTGTTGAACTCTTTACCATAGTGAAGTTCTTCGAACATACTAAACACTTCGCCATTGGTATGGTATCTACAAAAGGAAACTTTTCTTCCCAAACCAGATAAAAATGAACGGGTGCAGATGGTCCCACACCCATGTTCTCTGAAACTGCGGTAAAGGCCCAATAGTTTTTGTTATCGGTGAAGGCCGTTTGCCCCCTCCCCCCTTTGCAATGGAGCTCCGACGTCATTTCTCAGCCAGTTGGCAAACGTTGGTCTAGCAAGGTAAACTAGTAACTCGGTGGTGGGTGGTTTGCATCTATGTATATGATAAACATCTGCAGAGAAGACATATTGAAGAACTAGTAAAATATTCACTACGTTTTTCTGATTTTCCAAGTGTTATCTATATTGACAAAGGCTAAAATGAGATTTCAATATGTTTATGGACAGTTCTGGCTGCAAGAGGACTGTGCTTTGATTGATTTGTGTTCCCTGTGAATTGCGTCAAGTCCTAAGGTCATTAGTGCCGTAAGTGCAGTTTTCATGTCAGGAGATATCCGTGTTATTCCCCTTACTAGATAGCGAGACCCGGCGCTGACCTACGAACATTTCTCCTAGCCGGGTATTCCCCCACCAAATGGGTCTCACCAGAAGGGTACTGCCCCCAGCAAGGTTTGAGCTCCCGATTGGTCTCACGACATGTATGATAGTGTAGTACATCTAAGTGTGTGTGTGTGTGTGTGTGTGTGTGTGTGTGTGTGTGTAGGGAAGGGATGTCAGTGAGGAGAATAAGAGAACGCGCACGTTCCGTATGCCATGTGTTAGGGTACTGCTCCAGCCTTCGCCTAGTGGTAATCAGAAAAATCACGGAAAATTATCAATCGGCGCCGCTGGCTGCATGTCACTGGAACTGTCCTCCAGACACCGGATGAATTTGACCTAGCTAACAACCTAGTGTCGAAATTTCTGCCACCGTCGGGGCTCAAAACCCTAAATCCACCCGGTATGAGGCACTGCAGTGACATCAGGATTCATAAAGCATTCAAAGTATTTTTTTTATATTTAAGGTCGCATCAACTACTAGGTCATTAGCGACCACTATTGCGTGAAACGGTATGAGGATGACACGATATGATGATGATGATGATGATGATGATGATGGGGGATGAAAGGACGAACACAATACAACCATGCCCGAGGTGGGACTCGAACCCGCGATCCTTCGATTCGAGATCGCTGCGACACTACTGCCTTCGCGATCTCGGCCACATTCAAAGTCGATGCACGCGTAGCGCGTTGTAGTGCCCTCCAGGGCTGATAAAGCAACCACTGGAACGAGAGACTGCTGAGTCCCCGCTAGTGACGTGGTCGCCAGTATTTAAGAAGCCACTGGAGCACGAATAGACAGTCTTGTTTTGCGAGTACTGGGGTGTTTATAGCTGTATAGAACCATTGAAGAATTCACGACCATGATGTAGTGAGGGATGTAGTTCACGGGATTTGTCAGAGTATAAACGATTAAGCAATTAATTAACCTCTTTTTGGAAATTATTTAATTCCATCATCAGGGCTAGTGTACAATAAGGATCAACTACAACAAGGCATGAAGATATAAATATGAATAAATAAATTTTCTTGTGTCGTTGCCTTGAGAGTTGTGGTTCATCCTCTTGTTCTCCCATTTGAAATAGTTGGATGTAATTGTATTTAGTAATCTACCTGAGCCGATTATGCCCGCTACTGGGTACCTACTTGGACTTTGGTGACTTAAGCGACGATCTGGTAAATCTTCTGGTGACAACAGTGCTTTCAACTATTTGTACATTACCTGGTTATATTGTAAAATGGGATTGTGGGTATGAGATGGAATTCTAGGATCGTGTAAATTGCACAATAAACATTTATTTCTTACAACCGTTTATTTCTTAGGTAATTTTTAGAAATAACTTCAATTGATGCCCTGAGCCACTGAACACGATAAGAGGATTCCGTTATTTGCACGAAATGATCGCGTGGCGACGTATCTGAATTGTTTTGTCAAAATTCGAGAATCGTTAAAAACTAAACTATCATGTAAGGTTAAGAAAGGTTCTAATAAAAAAAATCCTCTACGAGGAAATAGTAACCCCTTACTTAACAAAGACAGAAGGAAAAAAACAATGATAGAGTCGTTCACTCTCACTATTTGTATGTAACTGTTAAAACACTTCATATAAATATACATATAAAAGCGTTACGATCTTCAAATTCTTTTGTCATAACAATTCTCCTAGAATGAATTTCATGTCCTAATTATGCTCACACAACTGAATAATGAACATTCATTTAATTAACTAAGCAATAAATTATTGAGGGGACATAAAGAAAAAACGACATTTAAATGCATTTCAAACTAGTGGTGCTATAAAAAGCACCCACTTTCTCGCCATTAGTAATAGTTATGTAATACTATTAATACACCGTTTCTTTCTGAATTTTTTTTTTTTTTGTAAAACTCATCTGAAGTAGTAGAATATTCGCTAAGAAGAATAAGCAGAATGAAAAAAAGTAAAATATTCAAAACTTAATAAATCATACGATACTAATAGTGTTGAAATATAAGTAGATCGAAAAATACATAATAGCAATTATCAAATACTACGGTATTGTAATATTCTACAAATATATAAAAGTATTTGTTTCTTTTTCTGCGTACGAAAAGCGGCCGTCATTATCATGTTTCTGTCCGGCGTTACAATAGCGACAATCAACAATAACTGCTCATATATTCGCTTTCACAAGAAGCGCAGTATTTTCAGAGCGGGCGACTAATTTTGATACCCAATTGCTTCAAAATATTCATAGTTTCGGTAAAAAAACATGATCTCCTTTGAAAATCTGTTTTGGGCGAACATAGTTCTTTAAGAAAATACATTTTAACTTCATAATTGTATTTGTATAAAGACGCCGAAAAAAGTTTGAATTTTTGCAAATGTCGAAAAATCAGGCTATTTAATTATCATGAGAGCTGCACTATTTTTTTAAATGTCTTTCAAACTATCCACCTTCAAAATTTCAACAACCTTTCAACCGCCGAGCGGATCGGACGTGACCTAGCTCCGAGTTGCTCGTGCAGTTATCAGTGACTGAGTCAAAGTCTTATCAGAACCAGTGCGATCGAT